GGCGGCTGGGGGGTGCAGCGCCATGACCCTGTGGGCCGAGTCAGTCCATAATAAAAGTGTAAGAAGGGGTTAGAGAGAAGGAGCTGGCTTACAGTCAGTGGTGGAAAAGAGGCCCTGGGACCAGCCCCTGTGGCAGCAGAGGGGGAGAGGGGACTCTGTTGGCCCCTGCCTCTGCCACTCTCTGGGAGCACATGTACCCCCTGGAAGTAAGAAAGGGGACTGTCTCCCAGGGAATCTGCTCTACCAGGGGCTGTAGCCCCAGGGCCCTGCTTTTCAGAAACAAGTCTCTGCCCTCAAGCGGCTGCCGGCTGCCCGCCGTGCCCAGGGCGAGCCTCACCTCCCTCTCAGTGTTTCCAGCGTTTGCATGTACCCCCAAACCAAAGCCCCAAACAAACCAACAAAAAACCAGCTTATACCTCACGAGAGAGACAGAGACACCCAGCGGGCCTTAGCACAGCCTTCCGCCTTGGCCCCGGCCCACCTGGGTCTCGGGCAAACCCAGGGCCATCGCGTGGGCTCGGTGTCACCAGGCACTCTGCCACTGCTGTGCCACCACCGCTGGCTGGCCCAAGTCTCTCTTTTAGAGAGGGTTTACTGTAGGACGCGTGTGCTCACCAGAGGGACAGAGTGAGAGCTCGCCCCCCGGAAGGATGGCCATGCCACAATCCCTTCTCCACTCTCCTCCTGGGATTTGGGGCGTACAGCACACGTGTCCAGCCTGTTTCAAGCCACCAGATCCGGGACGTGAGCCACAGTAACTGTGTGGGAGTTCATCAACGTAACCACTATGCATCTGCTGGTCCTCCTGAGTCCCTCTTTTATTTATTTTAAAGAATTATTTTATTGGGACCAGCAGTTAGCATAATGGCTATGTCGCTGGACTCCCACGTAGTCGACTGCGGTTCGAGTCCTGGACCCAGTGGCTTAAAACTCATGCCGGAGGGGGAAAAAAAAAAAAAAAAACAACTCATGCCAGGGCGTGGGCGTGCGTGCCCAAGATCCCGAGAGGAAAATGTGGCGTGGCCATCCCCCCTGGGGGGTGATTTCTCGCTTTCTCTCTCTGTCTCTCTCTGTTTGAGCGATCCGACGCACCCTATAGCAAAAACCTCTAAAAAAAAGAATTATTTTATTTAACTATATTTTTATTTATTTATTTAATTTGATCAGAGGGGTACAGTGAGAGTGGGGGGAGTGAGAAAGCAAGCCACCAGGTCCAGGACTCAAACCAGGATTGGCCATGTGGGAGTCCAGCGTCCTTGACCTCTCAGTGCCCCGGGAGGCATGGGATCTCCCTGGGGGACGTGGTGGGAACCCCCAGCCGTACAGAGCACCCCGGCCCCGGTTCGGTTCTCGCTGGGGAGGGGGCGCGTCCTTTCCTGCGGAAGGTCTGGGCTGGTGGTGGGCGCCCTTGCCCCTGACCGATCCCCGACTGCGACCGCTCACCCCGCAGGTCAGCTTCGGCGACCAGGCGCACCTGGTGCTGAGTGGCCAGGCGGAGGGGCTGTGGCTCAGCCACTGGGAGGGCAACCGTCCCGGCCCCTCCTGCTCGCTGGGTGCCCTGCGGAGCCACGGCTGCACTCGGCCAGCCCGCCCGCGCCTGCGCCCCCCCACC